AATGTAAAAATAATGAATTTTAAGGCTCTTAGACATCTGGGAAATATCGACTTTTTCTTTTTCCAGAATAAGATCTTAAAGAAAATTATATCTGGGTAATTGTAACCAGCCCACCTACCTACTTAAAAATTAAAAGAAGAAATTATAACTAAGTTTCTTCTTGATATATATATATATAAACTAAAGTAAAAACTAAAGTAAAAAAAATATATATAAACTAAAGTAAAAACTAAAGTAAAAAAAATATATATAAACTAAAGTAATAAATGTTCTACGAAAATTCTAAAAGAAACAGTACACTAATCCCAAATTACAACAAAATTTTACTGAATATTGAATTGAAAGTCAAATAAAAAAATATTGAAATAGAGTTGTATTAAAGCGAAAATTTCCAGTCTGAGAAAATATTGGAACAAGTCACATTTCCAAATGTCATTAGTTCCTAGTAATCGATCACCATTTATCGAAGATTGAAATAGGAATATCTATACACAATTCTTTTATTAAAATATAATTTAAATTTTACATACATCGCAAAGGTGCGACATGATCCCGTTCTCGTGGCCGATTCGCGTAAAGACAACGATCAATGTTCCAATAACGCGTGCCTTCGCGGATTCTTCGTCACACAAATAGTTTTATCGGACTATTGACCTTCGTTATACACTTGCGAAGAAGACGAATCTATTAATACAAACGAATAGCTTCGATTATTCGCGAAGCTCGTCTGATATGAGAGATAACACTCTTGGTGACTAACAGAGAAATCGGTCAGTTGCTGCGAAATTTATTAACAAATGGCTGCTCCTGATTCGCGCAATAAGCAATGTTGTACATGGCTGTAAACGTGTCACGCAATGCACACGACATTCGTTCTCATTAATTCGGTCGCGAAATTGTTTTCCTCGTGCGTTATCATTGCGTACAATTAACCGAGCTGCCACTCGGTTTTGCAAAACGATATCGTGTTATCTGTATGTGTTCCCGCCGTCGAACCGATTGTTTGCAAATAATCGTCATGTTACATAATTGCTTGTTATGAAATAAGTAAGAATTACGCGTCGCGAAGGTTTCTCCAACAATAAGAGTTTCAAAAGTTATCCGTTACAGAATTCCAAAATATATTCGTCATTTTTTGTCAAAAATGACGAATATATTTTGGAATTCTGTAAAAATGTTACGCTTTATTTACACTTAGAGAAATATAACGATGACAATTATAAGTTTCATGAAAAAAGTTTGGTAATATAAGTTATCAAATATATTGTAATAGTAAAATAATTGCAATTGAATATTCAATTAATATAACTAAAAATAATTTTATTTTTTTCTAAATATTTAGTATTATAAAATATAATAATATAATCAATCGTTTGATAATACTTAC